TTGCTATTTACAGTAGAGGGAAAAGTTCTGCAAAAGAGGAAAAGAAAAATGTGTTAGTTCGGTGATNCCTTGAAGAAATACTGGACACATCAATAGTTGAGAGTGGAAGATCACGCAGTTGTTGAAAAATGTTGCTATTTACAGTAGAGGGAAAAGTTCTGCAAAAGAGGAAAAGAAAAATGTGTTAGTTCGGTGATCATCAATAAACTAAAGCAAAAAAAGTACTAACCGAAATTCATCTAACTAGCCACCGGCTCGTCCACCGAGCTTCTTCTCTTGGATTCAGCTGATTCCGTATTTTTAGTCAAAGTTTCGGTGGACTGCTGCTGCTGCTGTCCCTCGTCAATGTCCACGTCAGTGTCCGGCTCGGTGTTGTTGTCGTCAACTGAGGAGGCGGCCTCGACCTTCTGCTTTGACTCTTCAGCAGCTGAGCTTTTATCCTCAGGCCTGAGCCGTTTCCGCTGTTGTTCACCAGCAGCATCACTCGATGACAGATCATCCCCATCATCATCATCATCGTCGTCGTCATCCTCTGTGGAGAGGTAGGCGTACTGCTCACTGCTAATGTCCGGCGACTGCTCACTGCTGCTGAGGTTGCTGCTGTTGGTGGTGGTGCCATTTTGGCAGCTCGGAAGGTTCGGAGCATCAGTCGTTTCAGTGGGCTGCTCAGTGGGCTCGTGAGAGTTGAACTTGATGGGATTAAAGTTTTTCCTCTTTCGTGGACTCTTGTGGTGACTGTTTTGAGTGGGCGTGGCAGTGATGATAGGATTAGGAGTGGTGGTGATGGGATTCGGAGCAGCGGCATCCTCCTTGACCGACAGGTCAATGCAGATGTCGTCGACGCCTTCGTCCACCTCCTCACCATCATCATGGTTTCTATCACCACCCTCATCACCTCTTTCACCCTCACCCTCCTCCTCATCATCGTCATCATCCTCAATCTCCATGCCCATTTCCATGTCCATCTCCACGCCCTCCTCTTCATCATCATCGTCATCATCATCATCCGAGTACATGCCCTCATGAGGCGTGGCTCGACTGCTGCTGCCGCCGTCATCATCGCCATCGTCGTCATCATCCCTCGAGGACATCGAGTTGAAGTCCATCATTGCACCGTAGTGTTGTTCACTGCCCTTGGGCGAGTGATCGCTTCCGCTAAAGTGTCCTCCTCCCTTTCCTAGGCCATCAAAACCAGTGAGGCCGTTCAGGGCGCCGAGGTTGCCAAAAAGCGAGGCAGCTGCCGCCGCTGTGGCACCCGGCGAATGAGCACTTCCGACGCTTCCGCTTCCGCCGAGGATGTTCGGATAGGGATTGGCAGTGCGCCCATCATGCGGGTTAATCTTCCGCCTAAAGTTGGGCGTGTGCAGCTTTGGATTCGGATTAGCGGAGTG